AATCATGTAATGAACAAAATAATGTCAATAAAACTCTTAACAAATCAGTATTACATAAAGTGTTCTAGGAAAAATATTAAGCAAGATTTGAAATAACAAAGTCGTTTTTTATTTCGTTCAAGATTTAATTGTTGTGTTTAAAGCCATCTAGTGTCGAGGTATTACATTTTATGCATTTCGGTGAAATTGGGTTTTATAGTGCTCAACATAAGCTTTAAAATGAGTGCTGTTGCAAGTTTTTTGTGTGTGAAATGAGTGAGCTATCATGCAAATAAGAAGCATATACGAATTTTTTTTCTTTTAAATCATATGGTTTAATGAGCGCCATTTCCACCAGAATTAAAGTAATTCACATTCCATCTAGAATTCACTTCATTATAGACATCTTGATGGATTCTAGCAGATTCACTACTTTAGTACAAACTATTTTCAGAAAGCTCACGATTTTATAAAAACTTTTTTTCCAATTAGCGCGGCCGCGCAGTCTTTAAACATTCATAACTCTGTCAATTTTTGTGTGAAAGAAAAATAATAAAAAACAATAATAGGCCAGAAAGATCCCTTTGATTTTTATCTTTATGATTTTATACGTATCTTTTATTCTTTTTGAGATATAATGAAAATAATTTCGATTTAAAAAAAAAAATGGAAAAAAAAGTTTTTATAAAATCGTGAGTTTTCTGAAAATAGTTTGTACTAAAGTAGTGAATCTGTTAGAATCTATCAGATGTCTATAATGAAGTGAATTCTAGATGGAATGTGAATTACTTTAATTTTGGTGGAAATGGCGCTCATTAAACCATATGATTTAAAAGAAAAAAACTTCGTATATGCTTCTTATTTGCATGATAGCTCACTCATTTACACGCAAAAAACTTCTAACAGCACTCATTTTAAAGCTTATGTTGAACACTATAAAACCCAATTTCACCGAAATGCATAAAATGTAATACCTCGACACTAGATGGCTTTAAATACAACAATTAAATCTTGAACGAAATAAAAAACGACTTTGTTATTTCAAATCTTGCTTAATATTTTCCCTAGAACACTTTATGTAATACTGATTCATTAAGATTTTTATTGGCATTATTTTGTTCATTACATGATTTTTGTTAAAATGTATATTTTAGGAGATATTTGCAAAAAAACGAAAAAAACGCCGAAAATATATGAATCTTTAGTGGCCAGTAACTTGAAAAGTATTAGTTTTTTTTTAAAACTATAGAAGACATTTTTCTCTTATAATTAGTTCTTCTATCGATTTCCGACGTTATTTTGAAAAAATGTATTTACACAATTGAGAAGGGGTGTCATCCCCCCGGGGGGTGATGGCGCAACCTGAATTGTTTTCACTTTCGAACTTGAGGGTAAGATGAACCTAATTCCAAAATTTCATTCAATTCGGAGCACAGTAAAAAAATTCAGACCTAAAACGCTCCGTTTACTGCACTATATAGTACAATAAACAATTCGTTTATGATTTTCGTATAATAAAATAAATAAATTTTCATATAAAAAAGTTATACAATTCGTACTAATAAATATCAGCAATAGGTTTTTTATTACTGATTTTATATTAAATATTAATAAAGTTCATTTTGTAACGTATTTTTTTAAGATGTGGCTTCAAGTATCAATGGTAACTGTGCTCTGCGTTTTACTGGATTTAGCAGAAACAATCGCTAACAACAGAGATCTTGAAACGATTTTCAGAGAAAGGTAAGAGTATTCATGAAAATTTCTTAACAGATCATTTTCATTATAAATATATAGTCCAGTCATTAAAGCTTAAATTAGGTAAGAATCTCGAAATTCGAGATACCCAGTTGTAATCATGTAAATACCTTAAAATAGCACCCTAAAAGTTGTCTCCAAACCTACATATGGAACGTACCATATGTAGATGTTGAGATAACTTGTAGGGTGGTATCTTAGGGTGAACTTACTTAATTAATCAAATTATCAAAATTTATGAATATAAAACGCATTTTCAACTAAACGCAACTTTGATAAACTAACACATTTCTTACAGTTATTTAAATTTCACAAAATATTTATTACAAATAATTCAAAATTTCTGATTTGTAGATCTGATGAAGATTGGGGCGATGCTTGGCATAAAGAAACGCATTCCAGGTGTAGAGAACATTTGATGCGCCACATGTACTGGGCATGCGAAAAGGACATTTATAGAATATCTCGGAGATCAGTTCCGGAACATCACAGGGAGAAGAAAATTCCAGGTAACTAATAATATAATACATATTCATAAAAATGGAATGATTCCCAAAACATAACAACATTGTGTAGAATAAATTGTTGCAACCGCAAAACAAATAGAATAGGTCTGTTTTTTATCTTTTTGTTTCAAGACATCATTATTTTGGAATATCTTAAAAAAAGTACGTGTGTGTATCGTTCTAAGAACGTTACATTTCTTTACCGACATAGGCAGACATTGGGTTCCTCATGAGACTGATCTGATTTGTATACTGTGTAGTCCAGTCATTATGGTAAGTTCACCTCGGAATTCGAGATACCCAGCTGTAAATACTCTGTAAATTCACCCTAAGAGTTGTCTCAAAACTATACATATGGTAGAGTGTATGTACCATATGTAGGTTACGAGACAACTTTTAGTGTGTATTTACTGAGTATTTACAAACTTACAACTGGATATCTCGAATTCCGAGATTCTTACCTAATTTAAGCTTAAATGACTGGACTAGTGCTGATTTTTTCTAAAATAGACCAAATAGTGCATCTTGGGCTAAAAATCAATATGTGACGTATACATATAACAAACTACATAAAATTATTATTAAATTTGGGCCATAATAGAAATAACCATATATAAAGGAACATTCTACCTACATTTTTTTTGAATATTTTAAAATATCACCAGTGTTTGTTATCGAAACTAAGTATATTATTTCTATACAAAAATATAAAATTCTTAATCCTAATATTTTTATATCAGATTTAGGTTACTCTTCATTTCATACTTAATTAAATTTTTATGCCAATTAGCGCGGGCGTTCAATTAAGTGAAACTACTTAAATTAATAAATTCTAAAATAAAAATTTGGACGTTTCACAAAAATTTTGAATGTAAGTTTCAAAATCATTAATAAACTTAGGATTATAGAAATAACCATATAAAGGAACATTCTACCTACATTTTTTTGAAATTTTCAGTGTTATCAAAACTAAGTATATTATTCCTATACAAAAGGATAAATTTATTTTTTATCTTTTTTTTAAATCAGTTTTAAGTTACTCTTTATTTCATATGTAAATAAATTTTCATGCCAATTACCACGAGCGCTAAGTTGAGTGAAACTTCTGATATATTAATAAATCTTTAAATAAAAATTTGGACGTTCCACAATAAATTCTAATGTTAGTAAGTTTGAAAATTAAAAAACAATGATTGGTTGATACGGTAACAATTGTTACCTTTATAAAAAGGGGTACCTTGCAAACCCTAATTTTGTCGACGTCCTTACATGGTCTACGCCACCACTCCGTGCTGCATGGGAGAAATGAGAAATGATTCGACTCTTGAAACGTGCAGATATTTATATTATATTATATTCGTAATTACTTATATTTTCTATATAATATAATTACGTATATTAAATTTTCGATATATTATAAGAATTAGAAAAAGTACGTAAATATACTAATCGTGACTATGAATTTCAGTCGCTTTTCCTTGGATTGGTGCCGAGATGTCCCTTCGCATGGTTCGATCAAGACGGTCAGCCCGCATCAGAGGAGGCGGCGGACCGAGGGTCCCGCCTTCGATAACCTCCGAGTGCTGCAACGCCGTGGGTTGCACTTGGGAAGAATATGCTGAATACTGTCCAAATAATAAACGCATCAATCAATTTGTCTAATTTCGAATTAATTTCATAACCGAATTGGTATATTGCAAATTATTTATCACAAGATATAAGTTCACAGGATAAAATTATATTATTTTTCGAATGAAAAGATGAAGATACTTACAGAGCGTAGGATTATTTGTTCTCATATTATTCGGTAGAGCTTCTGGTCAGTACTTAATTTTGATCTTTCAATCCAATTTTCGAGTTTGTTGTAAAGTAAACATGATTTTGTTAATCCTGCTGAATTAATTAAATATATATTTATATATGTTTTTTAAAAAAAATAATCCAAGTATAATAGCAAATAGGCGTTATTAAAATGGGTATATAAAATTCCTTTTCTTACGTAAACACATAGGTACACGCATGTTTTTAATTTTCTCTAAAATTATTTTACTTTATGTATAACATTGAAATAAATATTTCACTCTTGTTAAAATGAATAGTTTTAAGTATTTCAATTTTTAATTTAAATTCTGATAAGTTATATAATATTATAATTTACTATAAAAGTTTTATAATAATGTTGTATTAATTGCTGCATCATTTTGTTCTTAAGTCAAAAAGATTAGTGTTATTAAATTTCAATGCTTTCGAATATCTTTCAAAAGTATATATTTTTGTGAACATAAGTCTTTAAATCTTCTATATGGTTTTTGTGATATTCAATTCAATTTAACTAGTTGCTGCATTAACCATAACAATTATTGTATGCATTTAAACAGTGAATAAAGCAATGCACTAAGAATGATTTTTTTTTAATTATTCATGTTATTCATAAAATAAAAATCGTCATTCCTAAAAATTTAACTCTAATTATATTAAATTTGGCTGAAGAATGGTAAAACAAACATATTACCTAGTAATACATTCAATTAAACTTAGATAAGTGTTTAATTGAAGTAAATATTAATTTAATTTACTCATTATTTTGCTGGTAGAATTAATTAAAATGTTTAGAATTCAACACGACGCAACTTTTTTGCGCATATCTTTAAAACTTGCGAATAATTATTATTTTTAAATTGTATATGAAAAAAATTGGTTGATTTCAATAATTTCGTAGAAACTTGAGAATAAGACTATATTTCAATAAATATTTGTTTATTTTCTTTTCTTTTTATACAATCCTTTGGTACCTTCACTTAAACATAAGAAATATTTATAAAAACACAAAACACTATACATCACCCCCATAGCACAATATAAAGATGTTAATAGTAAAGGTAAAAACGGCAATTTTTCTTTAAATATTATTTTATGTAAAAAATTCTCATAAATAAATAAAAATCCTAGACCATAAATGTACATACTCTCCAAAATATTTAATAAAGGTAAACATAATCGATTTTTGTTGCTCTCTGGAAATAATTGAGATAAAAACTTAAAAGCTATACCCGAATAACTAATAAAAATTAATGCTTTCGGCAACAATAATTCATTTGTAAATAATAAAGGAAACAACGAATAATGACCAATTGTCGATAACATTAAAAATATTTTGGCATCTTCTTTTTCTAATACCGCTAATATACTGTAATAAAATATTAAAAACATTATAATATTATAATTTTATTCTAAATGTGATTAAATCATTTTACCTCATAGGAATAATTAACATCAAAATAGCTTTTTCATGAACATGCCATCCAAATAAGAAAGAACAGGCGCCGCAAATCACTAAACATCGAATAAATTGTAGAGGCGATATCACAATCGGGGTTTTGCTAAAAATCATATAAATTTTTTACATTCTTACGTATATACCTCTTCTTCAAAAATAGTAATTACAATCGAAATATAAAATATAATTATATGTTAAATGTTCTGTACATTTAAATGTACACAATGCTTTTGTGTGTTTAAATCAGGTACAAAATATACATTCAGTTATTCAGTGATTCAAAAAGGGATAACACAAAATCTCGAAAATAACAATGTCAATCTACTACTCTAAAAAATCTCCAACAAATTAATTGTTTGCTTTGGTTCAGAGATTACATTGAATTTCCTCAGAGTTATAATAATTATAGATCTACCTGTATGGTCTTCATATCAAATAATTATTGTCCAGAATAGTGTAACTCTTAAAACAATGCAGGTTCGTTTGCTTCTATACAATAAGCATACTTACTTGAATCTAATGATTCTCCACAATTTAATTAAAGCTGGCACGATAGTTAGAAATGTTAAATAGAATGTAATTGAAGGTGTTATTGTTGGTAATGTTGTGTGGACAACATCCTCCACTAAACCTCCAGTCATTGTTGCAGTACTATTAGAAACAGAATATCCAAGTTTTTTTGCTGTAACAAAATTTACATTCATTTTAAATAAAGAAGAGAATGATCCAAGTCCAAATAACTATTACCACATAAATTTTCAATATCATACCAGTAATAGTGGAAGCCTTATCAGCTACATTATAAATTGCCCAAAAATTTGGAGCCCAATATGCATGGCACAATCCACGTTTAAATGGAAATAGTCTCGCCATAACCTGATAATCATTATTATATTTGTCATCGACAAAAATAAATTAGCTAGTCGGTTCATAGTACTTACTTGAGAAATTTGTCTAATGAACGGACCAAAAGATACTGCACAAGTAATGAATCCTATCAATACTAATTTAGATATTCGTTTTGCAGTTTTAGACAAATCAAAATTTCCTTGCAGACAATAACTGCCTAATAAATAAACCACATAAGCTGGAGCCACATATGCAAAAATGTGCTTCAAATTCAATAAAATACTGAACCATAAAGCAGACATCAAATATTGTTCCTATAATAGAAATTAAAAGCCTCAAGTTAATTATTTGTATATTCTTCATAATTTTTAATAAAATAAATATTAGTATTAATTTTTACCTTCATTATGCAAGAAATTGATAATAGAAGTATTCCATACAGCATTCCATTATATTGAAAATGTATGTGATCAACCATAAATAAACCTGCATTGCACAATATTAAAACTGCCAAAAAAGTTTTAGGCTGTGAGTTACTTTTACCTAATGAATTACAACACCTGAAACAATATAAATGCATATAAAAAAAATAATTAAACTTAACTCTACTGTGAAATATTTACTCTCGAGTTCCAAATAGCAGCAAGAGATCTGTTACCATTACTGATAATCTTTGGAAAAGCACGGTCATATCAGATGCATAATTTAAATTTTTCACGTTTAGCATGTTTGGGTCGAAATATTTTGCTATATGCGATAACATAAACTCGAACCATGCAAAAAATGGTGGGTAATCTAATGTCCATTCTGAGGTGTTCTCAAAGTACCACAAATAAATTGGTTTACTATGTGTTATTGCTAACCAATTCCTGTGGACTTCAAAATCTGTCGAACGACTAGAAAGGTAAAAAAGAAAAGTAATTAAATTAAGACTCAGATTAAATACCAGGAAACAAGATAAATTTTGAGTAAATTGACATTAAATTGAGGTTAATTGTTTAGAATTTTGAAACAAGTGTTACAAATTACTGCATATGCTTGAATTAGTATAGTATTATAATGTAAAAGATTCTAATTATTTTTCTATTAATTATAATACAAATTTGTGAAATCAATGACTTATCCATTCATGTTCCTTTATATTTGGAATACTAAAAATTTGCTAGTTGCATCGAAATATTGTTACAATAAATGAACATATTATATAACTTGATAGAGATTTATGATATACAATATTATTAGAAAGATATAAAATGCTTATACTATTATATTCCTTACTATGCAGGTATAAACAAAAATTTTACACAGGTTATTAAAATAAATATTATCCATATCATGATTAAATTTTTAAAATATAGTCAATATTAAATATTAAACGTGGATCCACGTTGTTTGTCACTAATGTTAATTAATATCTAAAAACAAATCTAAAAATTAGAAGCATGATAAAAGTTAGGTTATGTTTTTGACATTTTGGCGTCCTTTCATTTTGACATGGGTTGTTTAGAGAAATGAAAACTAAGTTGAATAACTTGATTATTGCAAAAAATGAACTAAAATTGATTCAAAATATGTAATATGAAATGTAGTTCTCAGCTCCCTATCTTTAAAACATAATTCATGAGAATATATGTTTGATAAATACATAATTGTTTGAAATTTTGTAAGATGCCTAGATGAAAGAGCGCTAATGTTTGTAGGGTATATACAATGGTTTAAAGGTAAATAATAAATTATTTAAATCTTATTTGACAATTTTCAGACTAATTTTTGTAACATAGATAAGATAATTTCTATTAATGATCACAAATAGTTGCAAGTTCCTTTTACACTAGATAATTTGACTAAGCTTTTAATCTGAAAGAGAATTGCCGATTTAAAAATATTCCTTAGAAGATACAATCAATTTTACTTCTACCATATGTAAAATATGGTAATCAAATTTCTAAGTGCAGATGTAATTATGAATATACAAAAGATGAATTATTTACAGTCTCTAATAGAATTATTCTTTTATTACAGATGGCTGTGCTTCACAGAGCATTATTCACCTGGTTTATATTGCTAGTGTTTTTAATTCTTTTATGCCTGAGACTCGAGACAAGAACTCATTGGAATTGGTTCATAGTATTTATCCCCATGTGGTGCTATGATGGAATACTATTGATATATGTACTATTTCAAATGATACAGCAATGCAATGCTTGCACAGAACGAATAAGAAATTCATTGAGTAAAAATATTTGGTATATGGCAGCCATACTCTTGAAAATGGCTGCACAAATAACTATATGCTTGAAATTAGAATATCCTAAATTAAATCTTCCTATTTATTTAGTTTTAAGTCCTTTATGGATTTTGTTGCCAGCTTTAATTGTTGATGTGTTTTTATTTTTAGTAAGAGGTAGTAATAGGTATTAAAAGCTTTATATAAACTTTTTTAATAAATAATCATTACTAAATTGTTAATAATTTATTTTTTTAGCTTACAGATACTTTGGATGTGTTAATTAAACTATTATCACTGTCTTTTGAAAATTCCAAATCTTCATCGTCTTCATCATCTTCGACCTCCATTTCATATATTCTTATTTTCTTTTTGGTCTGAGATATTAATATTGCAACTTTTCTAGTTGATGATACTGCAAAGTCATTACATAACATGTTTTCAATCAATCTAATACTACAAGCGTCTATTATATCAAAAGCATTATATCTAGGAAGCATATTTTTTTCAACAAATATCATTCCAGTCTCTTTATTGATATTTTGAATATTTACAAATTTATCTTTCAACATCAGTATATTTAATTGTAGAAATATGCAGTTTTGTTTCACTGTTTGTTGGTGCAATAAAACTGAACAAATCTCAGATGAGTAGAATTGCATATTTACGGGCTTTAAATTGGGTAAATTTTTTGGCAATTTACTATCACTAAATGAAGATGGTGGTTTAAAATGGACACACACTGCTTTTGTTTCTTTACTTGAAACATCATATTGAACAATGTATAATCCATCATCATTTTCTGATTTGTCCATACAAGCTAATAAAACAGAGCCTTTTCCAGGGATATTGACTTGATCCACATGTAGGCTTTCACAGTCGGATAAGCCAATAAAATTAATATTCCCTTCATTTATAAAGTTGCTTCCAATTAATTCAAGTGGCTTTTCAAATACTTTTTGAATTGACTTTATGAACTGGTTGTGTTCTTGAATTAAAGAGTGATTTTCGTGATGTTCAATTATAGATGAGTGCAGTGATAAACATGAATTTTGTTTTAAAAATTCATGCCATGGATTTTTGTCAAAAACAGGAGGAATGGTTAAATAGTTGTCTGATAAATATTGGCCTAGTCGCTCCAAATTAAATGGACGCACTTTTATTGTTTCATCTTTATTGTTTGGATTTTCTACATAACCATCAATATTATCCAAAAACTCTGCTATATATTTAATTTCTTGTTGGGACATTTCTGCAAAATCATGAGGCACTCTTTCATCCATTAATCTAACAATTACAACATAAAGCCAGCGAAAAAATGCTTTGTAATTTTTCATGGAATGATCTATAACCTGCTGAACTTCACCAATTTTTACCAGAAATGAACCAATGTCTTTCAAGGCTTGTGTAACTAAATTTTCATTCAATCCTAAAGCCTCATAAATGTAAGTTAATCTAGCCATTCCTCTTAAATCTGATATGTGGTATACCAAAGCTTGGCCAACAGTATTCAAATTTTTTAAGACCAATTTTTGTATAGTTGAATAGCTAATTTCAATAGAAGCTCCCATTTTTTTCAGTCCTTTCTCTGTTAAATCATGCAAAAGGAATGCTTGCAATTCTATTGATGCTGTGCCAAACATCAATAAATCTAGAAAGTCTGCTGAAACACCACCTTCTGGTACGCACGCAGAATATTTTTCTAACTTTCTATCCATTTCTAATAATGCCGTTTCCCAAGCTTCTACTATACAATTAATAGTATTTTGCATATAGTACATTAAGTGAATTATGTGGCCATGTTTTAGTGCTAATACATGAAGTTCTTTGGAATAAATATTTAGTGTAGAAGTTTTAAGAATTAGAGTATTTACTTTATTAGCTGCTTTATAAGATACATACATATACTCGAATGATTCTGACAATTTAGCATCAATTACTACTGGATTTTCATGTTTGGTATATTTTTTAAGGTCGATAATTCCACAAGGAAATAGTCCAAAAACACTAATGTATACTAAACCATTTAGAAGACCAACTATTAATATGTTCAAAGTAGTCTGGTCTTTAAGATATTTTGAATCAGAACTCATTTCTACTTTTTTATTTGAATAGCTCGTTGAGAGTGATGGTAATCTTGGTAAAAATGTGGTGTGATCATGCTGAAAAAAGATTATATTAATGTAAAATAGTAACAGAAGGATATCATAAACATCTATTATTTTCTAAAGAGTTTAAAAAAATTATTACATATAATGATTTAATTTCTCAATAAAACTTGTAAGCAAATATATGTTTAAATCAAATTTTCATTATACTAACTATTGTTTCTGTAGAACTTTTGTTGGCGTCTGCTATATCATTTTGATTTGTTTGATCAGCTTGTTGAGACCAATTTAAACAACTTATTTGACCATCAACAGTAAAGCTATGAACTAATTCCTTGTTTTCAACATCAATTAAAATGATTTCTCCTGAAGTATAAGCTACGGCTATAACTTTTCCATCAGGTCTCCAAACTATATCTTGAACGATTTGTCCTTCTAGCGTAGGAGGCAAATTCCAAACTCTTTGCCAATTTAATCTATGGAGAGCAACTTCTCCTGGAGTATATAGAAATATTATAATTTATATGTTCTCATCCCATTTAGAACATATCAATAGTTTTCCATTTGTCTTTTACAAAACACTAACCTTTATTATTTGATATTGCCATTAAATCTAGTCTAGTGCACCAGGATGTGACATCAATTTCATTAACCACTATCCTTTCCTCTATTTCTTTCATAGCATAAAGAGACATATTGATAGTTTTTAAACTGTTTAAGTAAAATAATATTTAATACTATATACAAATAAATATTTGCTTGTGTCTAAAGGTGCGTCCACACCTAACGAACAAACACGAACGAACATAAACGAACGTACCAGAACGAACGGCAACAGCATAGTGTGGACGCCACGACGATCACGAACGAACATAAACAAACATAGCGAGCAATGTTCCGCAACTTGTCGGTACATCAAAGGGAATTGTTCGTTCATGTTGGTACTCGTATTTGCAGTGTGGACGTCTCAACGAACGCAAACGAACATTTTGTTTCAATAATTTAATAATAATTTAATAATAATTTTTTAATAATTTAATAACAATTTTAATAATTTAATAATATTTACTTTTAATTTTTGTGTACAGTTTGAAAATTTTAATAATATTTACTTTTAATTATTGTTTACAGTTTGAAAATTTTGAATAAATTATGAAATGGTCGAATGACGTAATTTTATCACACATAAATGAAATAGAAAAGTTTCCTATAATATGGGAGACTAAAGACCCTTTTTATAAAATTATTAGAAAAAAAACGACTCAAAATATAAATATTAAATACAAAAACTGAGTGAAATTAATTGAATAATTTATTTACTGTATATTTACAAAATATACACGAACAAAAATCACACAAAAACCAGTGAAAATGCCGTATGATTAAAGCTTACATCCATATCAATAATAAAACTGACGTTTCACGGAACATCTACGAACAACGAAAATTCAAGCGCTCACTGCTTTTAAGCGCTTGTTCAAGTTCGTTTGGAATTTTTCGCGTTCGTTCGTGTTCCTGTTCGTTCTTCTTTGTATTTTCTTGTTCGACATGTTCGTTCGTGTTCGTTCGTTAGGTGTGGACGCACCTTAAGGGTGCATTCGACTTGGACGCTTACGCGCTGTGAGCGCGCCGTGAGCGCGCTTTCATCGTTCGACTTGGCGCTGTGAGCGTCACATAAGTACGCCCGTAGCATCATCGTAGCATGTTCGTAGCACCTATTTTGCGCTCAAACGTGCTCACGCCACGGAGGTGAGGCACATGAAAGTGTCATGGCCGTTTATCAAAACGAATGCATGGAATGCATAATCTAATCCTAATTTCATTCATTCTTAGTTCATTAAGTACGCAAAAATGGCGAGCTGTGCATTACAATTATTTTTTAATATTAATATTAATATTAATTAATTTTAAATTTAATTAATTTTAAATAATTTTAAATTTTAATTTTAATATTAATATGAATTAAGCATAAGCAAACCAAATTTCATTTATTTATTTATTGTTAAATTGTTTATAATCCCGCTAAAAGATCCAGAAAGTAATAAAATTTACACAATTACCGTTACCGCCAGTTGCCGCCATTTTGATGCTTATTGACGCTCACAGTTTCCAAAACGAACGGAATTTAGTTATCGATTCTGAGCGCTTATCGGCCAAGTCGAACGCTAAAAATTCGTGCTTATAAGCGTGAGCGCTCACAGCGCGTAAGCGTCCAAGTCGAACGCACCCTAAATAACCGTCAATTCAAAGATGTCAAATCGAAAGGAGAAAGGGTGACAGGTGTCATTTTTGACATTTATCGATTGTTTTGTACCAACACTAGTGGGAGAAATGTTTTTGACAGATTGTCATAATAAAAATTCAGAAATCTGATAATTATTGACAAAACATTATATAATGCAGATATTCTAATTTTATATAAATAAATATAGAATAAATATATTAAAATGCATTTAAAAAAAAAAATTAGGTTTAGATCTTGGACTCCTTACAAAAGTAAACAGAAATATGACAGTTTGACAGATTGATTGTAGCCGCACGTGGTCAATAATTAAGAGGTTATTCAAACGTCAATATTTGTTATTTATGTTCTGTTTGTAAAATTATTTAGCCATTTATTCCATAATTGTGAGTGCACCAACAAAATTAAATACTCTAGGTAATTATAGTTTGAATCTAGTCTAAATTTTTGCATAAATTTGCACATAGTTCAATATAATATGAAAAATCTTAAATTACATTTAATATAAATATTTTTAGGTGATATATAATAATTGCAAAGTGACTGTGTAATCCAATAATGCTATATATTTTATAATACGACATAACAATGAAGAAAACTAAACCTAATTCACTTTTTTCTCCTGCCAAATGGGATAATGATGTCATACAAGAAAGTGGTTTATCAACAGAACCAAGTGTAAAGTGCAAATTATTAGAAAGAATTAAAAGCAAATACACACCAGCAAATGCAAATACTTCTAAAGATAAAACACCTAAAACTCGGTTAGACATGGCCGAAGACTCGTTTATAATAAACACGAACAATTTATCTTCATCAAAACGCAGAAGACGTCAAATGAAAAAACTTAAAAGGTTAGAAAATACTAAAACGGGTGTCAAAAGTAATGATAAAGTTAAAGACCAGAAAGATGAACGAACTTTAAGAAAGCTGAAAAAAATATTGCATCAAACAGACTCTCCTGCTAAAGAGGATCAGCAAATGTCGTTTCGTGAAAAACTTTGGGAGAAACTTAAAGGTAAATTTGGAGAACTATATATATATATATATATATATATATATATATATATATATATATGTTTATTGCAAAAATATAAAAATGTATTAATATTTTTAGGATCACGATTTCGATATCTTAATGAACAAATGTATACATCAAAAGGAAATGATACACAAAAAATGTTTCAAAAAGACCCTAGTGCTTTCGAGGCTTACCATGAAGGATTTAGGCATCAAGTTTTGAAATGGCCACTAAATCCACTTGATAAAATAATCAATGAAGTTAACCAAATGTAAATATTTCAAATTTCAACAATCTTGTTTGAATGTACTTAATTAACGTAATTGAAACTTATCAATTAATAAATAATTATTATTTACAGGCCTTCTTCATACGTTATTGCTGATTTTGGTTGTGGCGAGGCAAAATTAGCATCATCTGTTCCTCAAACGGTTAAATCTTTTGATTTAGTAGCATTGAATGAGAATGTGATAGCTTGCGATATGGCAAATGTCCCATTGAAGTCTAGTTCAGTAGATGTAGTTGTCTTCTGTCTGTCTTTAATGGGTGTAAATATTAAAGATTATTTGTTGGAAGCTTCAAGAGTTTTAAAGATTGGGTATGTATAAACTTACTTATGTATATATTGTAAAAATTATGGTGATCGCTTATTTCATTACTATTTTATTTTTCAGAGGTACAGTGAAAATTGCTGAAGTGTCTAGTCGATTTACTGATGTAAATAATTTTATAAAGTTGGTTACAAAGTATGGGTACAAATTATTGAGTAAGAACTTATCCCATGATATGTTCTATTTTATGGATTTCAAAAAGGTTTCAGTTCCTAACAAATCAAAGGTACCAATAATAGAATTAAAGTCATGCATGTATAAAAAACGATAATAAATAATAAAAAATGAATAATAAAAATTGTCTCTATTATAACAATATACTCTTCAGATTTTTTGTCTTAGTTATGACCAGTATAAGGCTTTAGTGACATTTTTATTTCTTGCAACTCTTTTATGCTCTTGTAATGTTTTAAATGTTTTTTTTTATTTAAATGCACAAATATTATTTTTATGTTTAAAGAATAATTTTTTTCCACAACACTATTTTTTAAATTTCTTATTCTATTATTAACTTCCTCAAGGAGAAGATTAATTTTATTAGGAAATAGGTTTTGCTTACTTTATTATTTATATTATTTTTTGAAAATTTTCCTGTCATTCTGAATCTTTTGAAATGAAAAATGAAAAAATATGTACTTTTATTCAAAACTTTAAAAATCGTTTTTAAACTCAATAACGACGATCGGCCGTTTCTCTATCATTAGCGCTTACGAGCAAAATATTCGTCAACGTTTTTGCCAAATTTTCAACTGTTATTAAAAAACTTTCCAAAGATATGAGTTGGGAGTCGTGTTTTTTTCTTCATAATTAATTGTTAACATTTTTGTTTTTACGATTTTTGACGAAACTTTGCATAGCGATCGAGTGCACGACTTTCCTCAAAACATCCTGAAATATTATAGGACTATTATTAATTATAAAAAAGCATAAGTTTATTATCTATTAGAATAGTTTTAGGTATAAGTTTTTTTATAACTATTATTATTTTATTTTCCTAAATTAAAAGTCTTCTTTGTTTTTCGCAAAATTATCAAATTTTTTATTTATTCATATTTCCTACGTTCTGGGGATATGGTATTTTCCCTTCTTCAGAAACTTTCAATGACTGAAAACAATTTTTTTTAATAATATCTCAATAAAAAACAAATTTACATTCACTAAAAATTATGGGACTGAATATTTCTATATATTTACAATGATTTAGAATATTTTTTAGTTATTTTCAGCAAGAATTTTTAGTTCAAGCACAATTCGATTTTTAGTGCTAGTTTATTAAAAAAAAATTGTCGAAAAGTATAATGAGACTGATAATGAGATACTGATAATGCGACGTATCATGTACTAATATCTAAAAGTGCCTTGCATCATAGATTGAATTTAAATATTATATAAGTAATTTTAATTACGATTTAAATATTCTATACAATTTAGCACTTACTTAGATATAGATAAAGTAATCATGAAAAGTATGGAGAGTCCCATTCCGTGTTTATCCCATACATTGGAATAAAATATCCCAATGTATCCAAGCGGCACATACAAATGGAATAGCACTCAGCAAAATGTGTTTTCCCTTATGTTTCTGAGGCGTTCCCTGCAACAGATCTCCATACAATTAAATAATACATGAAGATGAAAGTGGGAAGATTTGACGTTATTGTTATGACTGAAAACATTGTGATGTTTCTAAAGTAACTCCAATTCGGCGGTTTTTACGACTCCGAGAGCGATGTCTTTTTTACATGCATATATATGTAAATATTCAACTAAGTGTATGTTCGGTAATAGTACTAAAGTTGGTGTACATTTTAAGGCATATGCGGGAAAAATATTTAAATCTAAGGGCTCAAGATATTCACGTCAAAAAGTAATTGATGTGACAGCGCTTAAGTCTATAGTTAGATAAGTATATCTATCTAAAAGTTGATGATTTTTTTTTTACCTTATTGCAGTACTAATAAAATCAAATCAACTTCCATGTTGCTTTTCGCTAATTATAGCATGAATTTTTATTCACTTCTAGGTAGAATCGTGTAACTTTTCACATTTACCATTTGATGAAATCTTTGCATGCATATTGAGATTTGTATCGTAATTAATATCTTTTGTATTAATATCCTGCGTATTAAAAAATGATTATCTAACTCTAGGATATAAACAAACATGATTTCTGCGATCAGAGTCTGTTGATAAATCATTTTATTTTCTATAGATCGCTTTAAAACATTTAGCAACTTACAATATTGTTATTTTTAATATCCTGTTAGTTACTGTGAGAAAGTATTTTTATTGGTTTTCTTTACATATTTATTTGTCACAATATTTTATTCATATAAATAATGAATACAAGTTTTTATTTTCATATGCTACCCTATTAATTTTTCACTTACTTTTTTGTGCAGTTATGTTCATGACTTATTTTCACTTGGAAACAAATTTTTTGCTTTATTTTTTATCTACTCATATTATGTTTTCAATCTCTGTAAGTTTATAATGCGAAATTAGAAATTGCCACCTTGTGGTTGAAAGTCTGAGACTTTTAACCACTTGCATAACGTACATTCCCTATTTTGTTAGAGTCTGTACATAATTATAATTTTTATTTGTACATTCTTTTTACATTTTCAAATTTCAAAATGTAAAATTTTTCTTATAATGTGTAACTTAATACATTTTGTGATTTTTGCAAAGAGTATAATGTATCTATATGTATTCAGAAAACATGTCGCATAAGTTTAATGCTTATTGATAATATATTATTTTAATTTACTGAAAAATCTAAACTTGGTAATCTAAATCTTAATATGAAACAAATTTGTCTAATATTTGTCAAATTGTTGCATACTTTTCGTCAGCTCTCACCTTTTCAGATGTTCTCATGTGAACATGGTACAATAAGAGTGATTGCGTCATAAATTTTAGAAGAACGCCGATGTAAAAGATGTTGTGCTTTTTATTGTTTTCCTAAATGTAGATATTATTTAAAGCCACATATGCTGGCTGCAAATTAAATATAATAAAAATTTTGTCCACATTAATTTTTTCGGTTTTGAAAACAAGGTTTCGTAATTATACATAGTGATATTTAAAAAATCCGTTTGGATTAGTTGATTGTAGATTGAGTAGTACTTAATGAGACAAGTTGATTTGTTTATTCCATGCTGGCCTCAAAGATAAACGAAACGTATGTATTCATCAAATTTGTAGTTTTTAATTACTTCAGTTGTTTATGTTTAATCTGAATCAATTATTCAATGAGTATCAATTATTCATCTACTCCAAAATATATTTTATATATCATTAGCATTAGAACTCAAGTGTTAGTGTGAGTTTTGTCTTCTCATAAATAGCTTCAAGAGTTTCATAAATAACTCATGTTATTAGTTTTGCAAGGCAATCAAAGTTTCTTTATAGTGCTGTTAAATATAAAAATTGGTCTACGATTTAAAAAAAAAACTTAAACTGATTTTGGACATTCAAAACTCGTTTCAAAGATCTTTAGGAAATTCAATTTTAGTTATTTGAAGTCTAACCAGCTATTTGCGAAAATAAACTAGTGAATTTTTTTGAACATTTTAAAATATGCCACAAATATTTTTATTTCTGTTAACATTTACTTGTACTATTGGTGATAGACTGAACAATTTTCACACAATTACAGTTACAGATTCAAAATGTTGTTTTCTCAAAAAAAATGTATAGGGATTTTGAATTTTTGGAAATTGTGAATGTCAAATATTTTAATTAGAAATTTAACCCTTTCCACTCGGATGCCGCCGCCATTCATATAAATCTCGGATTTAGCGAGTGGATAGGGTTAAAATACAGTTAAGTAATTCTAAATTCATTTCAAATACCTCAGTTGGAACATAGATTCCATCAGTTAATAATTTTTTGGAGGGTTTGTAAAAATGTGTGCTGTTTTCTCTAAATAATTTTACTAAAAAAAAACAAAATATTTTAACTAAATAAACATAGAAAACATATTTTCTTTTGTAACTTTGAAATATTCAAAAATTGTTTATAGTCCAGTCATTTAAATTAGGTTACAATCTCGGAATTCGATATACCCAGTGGTAAATACTTGTAACCCTACCATATGAACACCCTACCATATGAAGGTTTTGAGACAACTTTTGAATGTCAATATACAAGTATTCACAGACTTACAGCTGGGTATCTCGAATTCCGAGGTGAACTTACTATAATGATTGGAGTATTAGCAAATCTCAATTCTTGTTGGCCAATTGAATTATTTTCAGTCATTGAAAAATTATTGCATAAATGCAAACACTTTTCTCATTTATGTTTATTAAGGATAGTTAATTAATCGCGTAATTAAATAAATGAATTAATCACACGTGTCCTCTTCTATTGAGCTCTATATCACGTTAAAAACTACCACAAGGCACCAGAGATCATGCCTGAAATGAAATCTTGGCCAGCTGTCGGGCTATACGAGTGCAGATACAAACGTTCGTTGTTTTACAAGCGGATTTTGTGATTTTAACGAAGAGATCTCTGACACACATACACATTTGCACAACGACTTGCCAATTATAATTGGCTTAATCTCCATCAGATGATATACAGACATAAGCGCATAAGCGTCGTATTGGCTTTCTAACACCATAGGGCACGGGTGCATTCGGGTACGGATCGAGGAGGATTTCAATACATATTTTCTCACATTATGGATGCAATAAATTATAAAACATAATATAAAACACTTAAAGTTTTAGGTTTGAGCACCAAACATAACAATTATTATTAACAAGATTACCGTTTTCGCACTTTTTAGCTTCCCGCAGGGTAAGTTATAGTAATCGAAAAAAATAGAAAATGAAAATTTTTATATATCCTCACGTTTTAAAGGTTTCTGAACACTTTTGCATACCTTAAAAAATGTATGTGGATGTGTGTGTGTGTGTTTGGATTTTAGTTGACGATTTCTGGAATACGCTTTAACCGCTTTAAATTATTCAAAAAACGATCAATTCCTATTGATAAGGAGACGTTCTGATTAGTTTTTGGCAAAGGCAGATCCAGCCGTTTTGAAGATTCAGGGCAAAAAGTACCAAAAACTTAGTAATTCAGATTTTGAGAGAACGGAGCGTACGATTTGAATAATTCAAAAAACATTAACTGATTAAATTTTTGGGTATGCAGGTCTAACGGTTTTGGAAATTCAGTTAAAAGAGTGAAAAAGTGCTTTTTGGCAGTCAAAAATGATCATTAGAATTTGTTAAGCACACTAATTATTCGACATTG